GTCAACTAGTGATGCAACTAGTCACTTCCCCCCTGTTGCTTTCTCTATCAGAGAGATATAGCAAGGGGGCAGGGCAGCAGGAGGGAACCGGCTTTAAAGCCAGCTCTCCCAGCACCATCTCTGTGGGAGGAATAGACTTGAATAGAATGGATAATTCCATGGAAGTAAAAATCTTTTAATGTATGTAATGTGGATTAACAGGAGAACTGAAACGAAAGCTCATGATTCCATCTACATGTTTTGTTAGTCTTTAAGGTGCTATTAGACTATTTGTTGTTGTTGTTGTTTAAGTTTTTCCTGTTACAGACTAACTCAGCTACCCCTCTGAAGCTTATGTTATTTATGTCACTTTTCACAACTTTTAAATTAAGAGATTGATTGCACTTCCTGATGTAACTATAGTTCCTAGCAATAGCTATTTTGAATACTTATCCAACTGTGGAATTTTTTGTAGAAGTGCCAAGCTATAACGCCACAGCAATGTTCAAAGTTGGAGGATAAATGATCACATGGACAATGAAGTATCACTGTAGAATAACACATTGAATTCTAAGTCTCAGTCCTTATTGTCAAGAGGGGAAACTTGGTCCTACTGAAGTCAATGGCAAAATTCACCTTGACTTAATGATGCCAACATTTCACTCAAAGTGCTCAATGATCTGGGCCTGGAACATGTGAAAGGTAAATAAAATTAAATGTGCAAGATGAGGATCATTGTTGATAACTCTGTTCCTATGGTACAATTAAACTGTCTAAATGAGCAAACAATACCTTGAGAGCAAAGCTAATTTCTACAGGTCATGGCACTTTCCCAGGGTCTCGTCCAAGATTGTATAACAAATAATTCATAGACTAACAATCATCACAAACTTTGCAACTTTCCCTTTCCAAGTTCAGGGTGCACTTCTTAAGCTGGACTTTGATAATAAAAAACAGCACAGTAAACAAATTAAAAATAATATTTAAAACACAATTTCCTTCTTAGGAGAAAAAAGGAAAAGAAAGACCTATACATGACAGCCAATCACTTCCTTTAATGCATTACTAGAAGGCACTCAGACTTTACAGTATTGGAATTTGAAAGAACAAACTAACTTAAAATTAATTAATTCTAGTGGTCTGCAACTACTTTAAGGAGAGAATTCAGCACTGATTGCTCCAAAGAAAATAAACAGTTTCCTCTAAAATACACTAGAATATAAAAGCCAAAACAGACAAAAGGAATGCATGGAAAATCTTGCTCATTCCTTGCAAATTAAATTATGTAAAAGATTATTTCACCTCCACTTTAACACGTGAGTTTCAACTGTAAAATATGGATGAAAAGTACAAAAGGTCATGCCAGTATAAATGTTGAAGTGAACGTGAAATGTGAACCACGGAAGTGAAAATGTCTTGTATGGGGAGGGCCTCAGGGGTTTTATTGTTTGGGAAATCAGGTTAATAAATCCAGTTAAATAATGCAACTGTAGCTCCAAGTTTAAACCTTATTCTTAGAATAAAGGTTTCCAAGGCTTATGTTTATATTTTTATGAGTAAACATATACTAACAGTCAGACTGGCCATGACTAGTCAATCATATTATTTTGAGACTTAGATTCATTTTCAAACAACTATTTTTACATTGAGACATGGCATAGAAGGCTCTGGTAGCACGAATGCAAACAGCTTTTTTGTTGTAGCAGCATCAACCTCAGTTGCCAACTCAGGGGGGTTATTTTCAAGATGACTGACAGCCAGCAAGTATTAAAACTTGACCTTCCTATTGACTGGTGACACACTGTCAGCAGACTGGATATCATGCAGGAAATGTTTTAAAAACTGGTGTATGTGGATGTTTAAGGCCTCATTTAAAATTTTGATGCAAGATAGAATTTTGATAGAAATTCAGGTTTTTAGAATTTTAAAAACTATGGTCTCTAAGTATACTAAGTGCTCTTTGCTCCTTTATGAGAACTGGGTAAAGATGAGGCATCAATGGTCAGAAATAGTCATGTAAAAGTTAAATTATTTGAATAAAATATTAATAGGTAAGTGTAAATATATTTTAAAAATTAATAAATGTGTGCCTTATTGATAGCATAAAGAGACAGACTGTACAACTCTTAAATTTGTGAGCACTTATTCACACAAATATCCCCATCATATGAAATTCTGTCCCCAGAGAAATCAGTATTTTCAGTCACTGACTACAAAGAGACTACTTGGAGTAAGTGCCCACAACTGTAAGAATTGCAAAATCCAGTGCTAAGTGTTTATTGTATTCCATAAATACCCATACTCCTTCTCCTTGCTTCAGCAGTGGCACAATATCATCTATGGCTGCATACAATTCGTAATTTTTCAGTTTATATTTTATCATCCCAGTTTCCCATCACCCACTTATTATATATTCAAACAAGCAACTGCTTATTTTCTACCATGTTGCCCCTCACATCTATCTCTTTCCTTCTTAAAACTCTCTTCTATTGAAACTATTACAAAAAACTTGACTACAATTCGGCTGCTAATGTGCTTGTCATGCTGACCAATACTGTATCAGTGTTGCTTACATGTACTCCCCCATCTGTCTTGTATTTAGATTGTATTCTATGTTTTATACAGTGCATAGCATAAGAAGGTCCTCCTGATCCATGACTTAGTGCATAGGAGCCTCAAATACAAATCATAATTTGCTCTAACCAGAAGCCACTTTGATAAAACAATAAAAATACCAGAGGAGATTTTCACATCACCAATTCTGCAGTCCTTTTAGATTATTTTTTAATTATGGGTTGTTTTGAACAAAGTTAAACAGCAGTTTACACCAAGCTGTGAGAATTAACTGGTTTGATAGAGAGGCACCTTTAGCATCACTGCTATGATTGAGGGTCTTGTCAATATTATATTTTAAACTCTGTGTTTATAGTTCTGCCACTCTCACATTTTACTCAACCCAGCATCCAGAAAATACACATAAGCCGCACAATGAACAATTACATGTTTGAAAAAGGAGCGAATCAGTACTCATATTTTTAGTGCAGGACAATGTAGCACTTTAAAGACTAACAAGATGGTTTATTAGATGATGCGCTTTCGTGGGCCAGACCCACTTCCTCAGATCAAGTAGTGGAAGAAAATAGTCACAACCATATATACCAAAGGATACAATTAAAAAAAAAATGAACACATATGAATATGCATCCCCCTCCTGTTCTGAAATGCGATTTGTCCTTTTCATATGTGTTCATTTTTTTTAATTGTATCCTTTGGTATATATGGTTGTGACTATTTTCTTCCACTACTTGATCTGAGGAAGTGGGTCTGGCCCACGAAAGCGCATCATCTAATAAACCATCTTGTTAGTCTTTAAAGTGCTACATTGTCCTGCATTTTGCTTCAGCTACCCCAGACTAACACGGCTACATTTCTATCCATATTTTTAGTCTATTGTTAGAACTATCTTACTGAAAAATGATACTACAGCAGGACTGAAGGGATTAAACCAGCTTTCAGTTGCTACAATAAACACACTTATCAATATTCAATTATTATTCTCTGTTATCCTACCAACACAAGGTCTTTCAGCAATTTACCACAAGACTGTTCTTTCACATTGTACCAGGGGGGTAGTTTATTCAGTTATTTATAGTAACAAATGACTTGTGTGCCTGTCCACCAACTAAATAGCAAGCTAGTGTGGTTAGTTTCATTAAACTAACATTTAGGTTAGTGTTACTGAAACTTCAGAATAGGTGTGATCCTATAAGGGCAAATAAGCAGGTAACTGTATTAGTAGCTTGGGACATACCTAAAAAGAGCAGGCACAATTGACAAGTCTAGAGATTCAAGTGTATTCTTGCATTTCACAAATAGTATTACATGTTTAAGCGTGGATGACAAGTTTTTTGTTTGAGGAATAAAGATGCCTATGAAGTAAATAACAGATGTATTTTATGAAATAAAACATTTGTGGTGTTTTTGTCACTTTCCATCACAGTGACAATGCACAAAATCACTTTTGTGGTTGGAGAAAATCCTGATAATCCTTGTTTCCCTATTCTGAAGAGGGCATGACCTGGTCCACAAATAAAAACATGTTTTATCATCCTGCACTCTACCATATTCAAATGCATGGTACATATCAGAATTTCACAAAACTGTATACATATACAAATTTTTTGTTTAACAAAACAATGCATGTAATTAAAAAGCTTTGGGGTCAAGAACATATTAAATGTTTACATGTTCAACCCTTCACAGACTTGGGCCAGCCTACCTTCTTTCTCTGCTTTCCTACTACTCCACTTATCGCCAATCTACTAATTTTTCACTCAATTACACTTATATTTCTGAAGGGATGGCAGACAACATGCACAGTGAAACACATAGAATACACAATTAAAAATAATTTCCTATAGAATGCCTCCTTATTTGCATGTATTGCATCATGTTTCTGAACAGAAACAAGAGGACATGCCTTTGAGTGACAAAAGGCACTCCTTCCCCAAAGGCTTTGGGTATTTGAGCTCTAGTAAGTATAACTTGAAAGGTAATTAAACATATTGCACAAAATTCACACATTACTCATTAGATAAACCAAACCTTAGAGCCAATAAAAACTATTTACATTTTCTTAGTAAAATATTTATTTTAATGTATCCCTTTAAACCAATTATATGTAATAATTTACATATTAAAATATTTTGATGTGTTAACAGAAATGGTGGCAATACCTTGTTTTTAGTGCCCAATATAAATCTCATACATACAGATGAATCCTCCATTAAAAGCCACTGTTCTGCCTTTCCCCCTAACCATCTGAACAGAAGTAATTTGCACAAACTGGTGAAGTCAAGATTTTGTTGTTGTTGTAATAGCTGTAATAAATCATCTTTCCTACCTTTCTCCCTGCTTCCTTCCACCTGCTCTCCATTTATAAGAACAGAAAAATACTCATAATAAAAAAAAAATCAACTTTCACATGCTCACTTTCCCACTACAGTAAAGAGTAAACACAATAGTTTATACCGTGTATTTTAATGCCTTAGTTTCAGATATTGTGTGCTTTGTGATAGACACAGTAATTATTATTCACTCCATGCAAGACAACACATCTTTAACAATTTACTTTTAATCATCTCTATAGTTTGAGTTATTCTTTTATAAGTAATTTCAAATGAGACAGAATTTCAATACCTGATGACCAAACTAGAACAGAAGACTGCACAGGATCAAGATCCTCAGACATCTGAGAAATCATTTTCTGTAAGGTATACCCTTGTCTGGGCATAGCAATATCATTCTTCTTCAAAAAAGTTACTGGACAAAGATCATTCCCACCATCACCTACATATATAATTTTTGTATATTTTACTCCTTCCTGTAATTTTTTATCCACAAATTCTTCCAACACTTTTCTTTTGCAGAGATTTTTAGGGCACTTTGCACAATGATGAGTGTGAAAATTCTGCAAAGTAAGATAGCCAGCACCACTGAAAGCTGCAGGATTTGTAAACACTTCATCAAGCACTGCATGAAAGTTAGCAGCTTTTAAAATCCAGTCAATAAATACTGTATTAGAATCGGAAATTATTATACAATCAAAGAAATCTTTGTTCTTGCCAATAAAGCCTAAAAGATCTCTCATTCCTGTAGTGAAAGGAATTGTTGTCATAGTTCTTTTCATTTCATCTTCTCTTACGCCACTGTCTCCCAAATATTTAAAGACTCTGCCCATGTATTCTGTCCAATGTCCTTTTTTATACGAATTTCTTAGTTTGTTAGGCAGTTTTTCCTCAGGAGCACATTTCACAATCCAGGTGTCACTATTTTCATCTATGACCGTATAGTCAAAGTCAAAAACCAGCAGTAACTTCATAGTTGTTAGATAAGAATATATGCTGGAAAAAAAACATTTTGTTTATATAATCAGAAGCTTCTACTAAATATTAAATTCCTATCATGACCTCCTGCTTTGAAAAGGGCAAGTCTACCACAAAAAAGAGTCAAGACAAATGTATAAACATAGCTGTTTCTGGGCACTACAGCTATGGGAAAGGCCGTGCTCAAGTGAGCAGATGATCTGTAAAGGTCAAAAGTCTAATTCACTATCCAGCTACATTCTTAATTAGATAGTATAAAGGAGTATTGGAAACAACATGTTTATTACTCATTAGTCTTCACTAACACAAGTTCAATTTAAACAATCTGGCTGCACTACAGTTCTAATTCTAATTTTTTTTTTATCCACATGGTCAATCAAAGCAACCCTCAAGACTGAAATTCTTCAGCTTTCTGACAGGAGATGGAAGCATTTTATGAAAACCTTGAAAGAGCCATTTGTAGCTGCTGCTGTTGCTAGTTTAACTAATTTTCTTCTTCCACTTAAAAAAACCCTACTAACAACATTCAAGCAGGCACCTTGATTCAAAAAAATCAAGAACACAAATAACCTTTGTGGTGAATATTAGTGTTGACTTGCTATAGGAAGATTTGTAGGTAGCTTAATTTACTGTGGTTCTACAGCATTAGCATTTATAGACAAGTCCTGGGGTAACCAAACAGCCTAGAGAAGGAAACAGCTCACCCTTTCTTTAGTGTAGTTCTAGGCACATATTTTGTTTACCTTGGGAATAACTTTGCTCATCACTTTTTCCCATTCAGAAAGAAGCCAGGCAAGTCCAGGGTGGTTGGGTTTCAACATTTGAACTTGAGTTCAAAGTCTCTCGCTCAAGCTTCATGGGGTGGCGGAGTTCATCTGTACAGGATAAACTTAAAAAAACAAATGATCCGGTAGCACTTCATAGAATAACAAACACATAGATGGTATCATGAGCTTTCCTGGGCACAGCCCACTTTTTCAGCTGACCGAAATTTTTGAGTTTAGGATGTGCAGACTCAAAATAAATAGGGTCTCTCTCCTGTCAGCCCCAACAGCTCGATAAAGCGCATTTACAACACAGATGTCGAGCAGCGCATCAGACAACATCACTCGGCATCCCCCGCACCCCCAACAGAACAGCGCCCCGCACAGCAGGGACAGGCGCAGCGGGAGCGCCGGGATCCCCGTTCTCAGCTACGCCCAGGGGTCCGGGCAGCCGCAGCTCGCGCCAACCGCAGGCGGCG